ATCGGGTTGCTGCAGTGGCCGCTGGCAGGGCGCCCTGGAGGTGAGCGCAGGCCAGCGAGGTGAGGCTGCCTCCCGAGGATGGGGGCCTCCGCACAGGCCGCTGCCCGGCCCCTGGTTCTGAGTGCCGCGTCCCTGCCGCGGGCTTCTCTACCTTGGCCTTCTGTGGGAACCACCTGGGCTGCTTGGCCACAGCCCGTGGGCTTCCCGCTGGACCTTGACCGCTGGACCTGCGCGTGGGTGACAGCACCGCTTTTGTGCCTGCTGAGAACCCACAGCCTCTGTTCTGTCCTCTCAGCCGCCTGGGACAGGTGATGGTGCTGTGGCCCTGACCCTGCACCGCCGCGGGCTGTGGGACCTCGAAGAAGCCTGGTGGTAGGTGCTTCTGTCAGGCTCCTGGCCCCATTGGGCCTCCTGGGATGACCCCACAGGCTTCCTTCCTCTCTCCCCACCTTGAGTTTGGGGTCTGGGTGGGGGCAGGTGTGGCTGTGGCAGGGCAGAGATAGCACATGCATCCCTGGAATACAGGTGAGGTGTGAGGTGAGGCGGGCTGAGAGGAGTGCAGGGCCCTGTCGTCCCTCCCCTGGAGCGGCCTGGGGCGAGCAGGCCATTGCTGACCACAGGGAAGGGATGGCCTCGCGGTGCGTGACTGGCCTGGGTGAGCAGGCTCCCCTGGCCTCCGGGTGGACGTGGTGGGTGGGTGAACGCTCACGCCTGTAATCCCAGCACTTTGGGCAGCTGGCCCAAGAGCTGAGGTAGCACTGGCTCACAGAGGCTGGTCCGAGTGAGGGAGAAAAAGGAGGGTCATGAGCTAGGGAGTAGGAGATGGGCCCTGATGGGCCGGAGAGCACATATTTCAGGCTGCTGCAAGTGAGGTGGGAGGGGTGTACCGGGGTTCCCGGGGGGGTTTCCCCCAGCCCTGCCTGGGATGGGAACAGAATGTCATGTTTCCTCATTCAAAGGATGCTTGTCAATCCTGCTAGGAGCCAGTAGGGAGGCCCTCAGCCTGCAGGAGGACAGCAGCCCTGCCTGGGCCCCTGGGCTTGCTCACTTACTCTGCCGATGAGTGTCGGTGACAGCACCCAGCCATGAGGACGCCTGCTGTCTCGAGGGCTGACGCAGAGGGAGGCCTGGGAAGGAGCAGTTTTCTGGAGCCCAGGCTGGCCCAGTCCAGGGCTGGGGGTCAGGCAGGACCACCTCGTGTTCTGTTACTGGGATGGGCGACCAGGATCGACAGTGGTTCTCGGAGCACTCATGGTAGGCCTGATGCAATTCTCTCCACATCCCATGGACCAGCCTCAGTAACGCTCAGCACCCTGTGGCATGGTTGTTACTCTCATGATACAGATTTGGAAACAGGACTGGGGGAGTGGCTTACAGGTCACAGTTTCTGTGGCAGGCATGAGTCCTTTGGGATGAGGATGAGGAGTTGGTGGGTCTTCTTGGGATGAGGATGAGGAGTCGGTGGGTCTTCTTGGTCCAAGTGTAGGTGGTGCAAAGGAGGGGCTCCTGAACAGGTGGGAGCCCCAGCTCAAGAAGAAAGTTCCAGTGGTCCCTCGAGAACACGGCCCAATCATGAGCTTCCTGAGTCAGAGCAGCCTCCAACAGCTAGCTAGCATCTGAACACACTTAGGGAACATTTTTAATTTTTATTTTATTTATTTTTCTGAGACGGAGTCTCGCTCTGTCGCCCAGGCTGGAGTGCGGTGGCGCGATCTCGGCTCACTGCAAGCTCCACCTCCCAGGTTCACGCCATTCTCCTGCCTCAGCCTCCGGAGTGGCTGGGACTACAGGCGCCCGCCACCACACCTGGCTAATTTTTTGTATTTTTAATAGAGACGGGGTTTCACCATGTTAGCCAGGATGGTCTCGATCTCTTGACCTTGTGATCTGCCCGTCTCGGCCTCCCAAAGTGATGGGATTACAGGTGTAAGCCACCATGCCCGGCCTAGGAAACATTTTTAAACCTGCATGGGGGAGGAGGGACGGGGCTTGCAGGGCCCCTGCAAAGAGGTGCAACATTCAAGTCCAGAAGGCGGAAGAAGTCACACTCTGACTAGGCGACTGCCACTGAGCCACTCAGTCCTGCAGCCAAGCCCTGCCTGGCAGCTTTCCTGTTGCAAAAGGCTTGGTTCCCTTCAGCCTGTTCTGCCATTACAAGCAGTCTGCAAGCTGGAAAGAAGAGGGAGTGGGGTCATATGCCTCTCTCCAGCAGCAAGGAGACCCCTCACAATGGACCCCATGCATTGCTCTGGCTTCTGTGGGCAGAACTGCATCCTGTGGTCCTGCCTGATTCGATGGTTTGAAAAGGCAGAAACATGGCCGCTGCCATTGGCCTGGCCAGTGAAAACGGGCTCCCTGGGGAATTCAGCCAGCTTGGCCTGAAGCAGTTGCTGAGAGGTGGAGGAGCAGCTCCAGGTGTTTTGGAAAGGAAGCAGCTTTCCAGCTGGAAAGGAACCAGCTGTGCGGGAGCCCTGTGCCTCCCGTGTTCTTACTGAGGAGAGTGTGGGCAGCTCAGGACAGGTTTCACTTTGGACAGTGGTTGGAGGCTGCTCACGCTGGCAGAGTCATCTGAAAGAGCCTTGGTGTATGTGCAAAACAGGGCCGTCTGCATGGGCGTTGGGAAGATCACAGAGCCTGGGCCCTTAGGATGACCCAAGGGTCAGTTGGATACTGTTTGTTTTTGTGGAGTCAGGTGTCCCATGACGGTTTTAGCGATGCTTTGCTAGTGTGAGCAGTGGTGTGTGAGGCTCCTGGTTAAATACCATGAGACTCTGAGCAGAATTCTGGGTTTCCTGGTATGCACAGGTAAATTTACAGTAGATCTGTCCTACTCTTTGCCAGTACCTCATACCTGTCTGCAATTTGACTGGTGTAAGGGGTGTTTGTTTTCCACCTCCCTCCAACGTGTGGTGGGACATACATTTATTTATTCATTTACGTTGCTCTTATTGCCCAGGCTGGAGTACAATGGCACAATCTCAGCTGCTCACCACAACCTCCGCCTCCCTGGTTCAAGCGATTCTTCTGCCTCAGACTTGCGAGTAGCTGGAACTACTGGCATGTGGCACCACCATGCCCAGTTAATCTTGTATTTTTAGTAGAGACGGGGTTTCTCCATGTTGGTCAGGTGGGTCTCGAACTCCTAACCTCAAGTGATCCGCCCACCTCAGCCTCCTAAAGTGCTGGGATTACAGGCGTGAGCCACCACACCCAGCCTCAAGACATTCATTTTATTTGAGATGAGGTCTCACTTTGTCACCCAGACTGGGATGCGGTGGTGCAATCTTGGCTCACTGCAACTTCTGCCTCCAGGGCTCAAGCGATGAGTCCTCCCACTACAGCCTCCTGAGTGACTGGCACCAGTGACACACGCCACCACACCCAGCTAATCTTTTGTAGTTTTGGTAGAGACGGGGTTTCACTGTGTTACCTAGGCTGCTGTCATACTCCTGGCCTCAGGCAGTCCGCTCGCCTTGGCCCCCCAAAGTGTTGGGGTTACAGGTGTGAGCCACTGCGCCCAGCTGTGTTGAGACATTTAATATTTGTCAATCTGATAGATTGAAATGGTAGATAATTTGGGTTTTCCCTAATTTCTTTCTTTTTTTTTTTTTGAGACTTAGTCTAGCTCTGTTGCCCAGGCTGGAGTGCAGTGGCGTGATCTCGGCTCACTGCAAGCTCTGCCTCCCGGGTTCATGCCATTCTCCTGCCTCAGCTTCCCGAGTAGCTGGGACTACAGGCACCGCCACCGTGCCCGGCTAATTTTTTGTATTTTTAGTACAGACCGGGTTTCACCGTGTTAGCCAGGATGGTCTCGATGTCCTGACCTCGTGATCCGCTGGCCTCAGCCTCCCAAAGTGCTGGGATTATAGGCATGAGCCCAGACCTAGCCGTTTTTTGTTTTTGTTTTTTAGACAGAGTCTCGCTCTGCCGCCCAGGCTGGGGTGCAGTGGCACGATCTTGGCTCACTGCAAGCTCTGCCTCCTGGGTTCATGCCATTCTCCTGCCTCAGTCTCCCGAGTAGCTGGGACTACTACATAAAAGTAGCTGTCACCTCAAGTCACACACCATTCCTAAACAGTTAACACAACGATTTTATTATATCTCTCAGTGTTGTGGGTTAGGAATATGGACAGTGGGGGCAGCGTGAATATTCAGTTCTGTGCCACCAGCCAGGATCACTTGAGGGTGCTTGGCTGGCATACCAGTTAGTCTGGGGACCACTGCTCCCTTTACAGCATCCTCTGTGGGTTCCAGCGTTTTTCTTTTTTGTTTTTGAGATGAAGTCTTGCTCTGTCACGCAGGCTAAAGTGCATTTGTGTGATCTCGGCTCACTGGAGCCTCCGCCTCCCGGGTTCAAGTGATTCTCCTGCCTCAGCCTCCTGAGTAGCTGGGATTACAGGCGCCTGCCACCACGCCCGGCTAATTTGTGTTTTTAGTAGAGATGGGGTTTCACCATGTTGGCCAGGCTGCTCTTGAACTCCTGACCTCAAGTGATCCATCCGCCTCAGCCTCCCAAAGTGCTGGGATTACAGGTGTGAGCCACCGTGCGCAGCTGAGTCCCAGCATTTGTGGGATTCAAGGCGGGGATGTGCAGTCTGTCAGGAGTGTTAAAGGCATTGCAGCATTTCCAGTCCCCAGGCCTCCTCTCCTTGCTTCAACCACGCCCGCCTCCTCTGTGCCTGCTGATGCCTGTGTGCTCCTCTTGGGCTGTCTGCTGGCTCACAGGAGAATCACCAGTATTCCAGACGTTCAGCCTGGAAACAGTAAGGGTCTGGCCCTAGGAGGGCCTGGCTAACACAGCATGGATTCAAAATCAGGGCAGAGCTGGGTATGGTGGCTCATGCCTGTAATCCCAGTACTTTGGGAGTTTGAGGCAGGTGGATTGCTTGAGCTCAGGAGTTTGAGACCAGCCTGGACAGCATGGCGAAACCGTATTAAAAAAAAAAAAAAAAGCCAGGTGTGGTGGCATGTGCCTGTAGTCCCAACTACTCGAGGGGGCTGAGATGGGTGGATCACTTGAGCACAGGAGGTTGAGGCTGCAGTGAGCTGAGATCATGCCATTGCACATTAGCCTGGGCGGCGGGAGTGAGACCGTGTCTCAGGAAAAAAAAAAAAAAAAAGAAAACAAAAAATGGACCGAGGCTGGGGTGGCAAGGCTGGGCTGGAATGGAGGCTGAGGCCTGGCCATGGCAGTGCCCAGGTGCTAGAGGACGTGTAGCAGGAAGCAAGGGCCGCCCTCAGGGATGGGGGACTGGGTCTGGCAGCTGCTGAGGGGAAGGGCAGGATGTGTATGGAGAGCCACGTGGGGCTGCGGTTGGGCCAAGGATTTTAAGAGCCCTGCTGCTCTCGGTGGCGGGCAGAAGGCCTGGGCCACAGGTGGGGCCTGCTGGGGAGACCATAGGGGTGGCAGGTATGGCTGGCCCTGGGCGCACCAGACACCGATACTCCTCCTCCCTGGCTGCTCCTTCAGCAGGTCTGAGAGTCTGAGTCACCTTCCCCTCACGTGACCCCCACCAGGACGAGGCAGGGAAGTGGCCATCTTTGGCCCTGACTCAGCCTTGCAGGGAGAAGAGGGGCTGGAGCTGCGGGTGGCCTGCTGATGGCTCCCCCAACCCCTGCCCACCTGGGTCTGGTGCTGTGTGTGCTTTTGCTGCGTCTGTCCTCCCTTGTGACCAGTTTCTGCTGGACCTGGTTGTCCAGCCATGATCTTCTGACCATCGTGGTTTCTGGACACACATCTGTTGGACTGAGGAATTTGTGTTCCTGGCCACAGAACAGTGGCAACCTCTGCCTCAAGCAGTTCCTGGTCTGGCACTCCCCCGGGGAGGCCAGAGAGAACCAAGCCGTCTCCTGATGCAGAAAGTCAGCCCCGCTGGGCAGTGCTGGCCCAGGAAGTAGGGCCCTACCCAGCGGTGTGCCGACTGTGGAACACTGTCTGCTCAGGCGGGTCTGGCCACATTCCTGCAGCATGATGGTTGGCAGTTAGCTTCCTGGAGCGCGGAGGGGTCCTTCCCTGCCTAACTGACTTGTCTACAGGGCAGCAAGAAGATGCATCCGTCCCTTGGAGTGTCCCAGGCACCCCCCCGACACCCCCAGGCGCCCCCCACCCAAGATCCCCGTAAGCAGCTGGGCTTTCACAGCCAGGTTACCAGTCTGGGGGATGACCCAGCCGCCATCTGGATGAGCGCTGGGGCCTTTCTGCTCTGGGCTGCAGGGCAGACATTGTTTTGTGCTGGTCAGGCCCCTTGCCAGCCCGGCTCCCTTGGAGCCCCCCAAGACAGGAGACGGGCAGGAGGTGTCCCCTGAAGTGGCAGGGGCTGCTTGCTCACTGGCCTTTCCAGGACCCTGCCCAGGTGGGGCTGCTTGGCCCCAGGTCGAATTCCTGGGCTGTCGGCTGGCTGGGGCTCATGCAGCCTTCCCCTTGGCAGCCATCCGGGTGACCTGCACGGGTTCCTGTGGGGTCTCCAACAAGGCTAACGACGCAGCGTGGGTAGCGGAGGAGGACTACTTCAACAGTTCCCTGTCGCTGGCGGACAAGGGTAAGTCTGGGAGCCAGTTCCTGACCTGGTCCCAAGTGGTGACCCCTGGGGGCACCCCTTGGAGTGGGGCCTGCCTGTCCTCCCCCTTTCCTAGACCTGCCTCTTGGATCCTGTACTGGCCCATCTTCTCCCAGGGTTGTGGGTCCTGATGAGTTTCTCATAGGGGCTGGGTGGCTGAAGGGGCCACCTTCCACTTGTGCTGGATGTGGGTGGGCTCTGACTCCTGGCACAGCTGTTTCACCCTTGCCCCACTCCCAAACCACTCTCCTATTCCAGCCCTTACCCTCAGTCCTTCACCCAGGCCACAGCCCTGTGCTGCTGGCGACTGAGACAGGGAGACCCCGTGTGAGCTGGTCAGCTGCAGTCCCACTCTTATCTTCGCCCTGTGGCCACCTCAGGCCTCCGGAGGCCTGTCCCCACCGCCCCCCACCTCCCTCCTGTCTCTGCAGGGAGTCTGCCCGCTGGTGAGCACAGCTTCCCCTTCCAGTTCCTGCTTCCTGGTAAGAGCCCAGCCTGGACAGGCCTGGTGATGACCAACTGGTCCTGGGAGGTGGGCTCTGCAGGGTGAAGGCAGCCAGGTGCCAGTGCCTGTTCTCTCCCCAGCCACAGCACCCACGTCCTTTGAGGGTCCTTTTGGGAAGATCGTGCACCAGGTGAGGGCCGCCATCCACACGCCACGGTTTTCCAAGGATCACAAGTGCAGCCTCGTGTTCTATATCTTGAGCCCCCTGAATCTGAACAGCATCCCAGACATTGAGGTGAGGATGGCACAGTGACGTCCTTGGTGGGTCCCCACCCTCGTGGGGGCTGGGGAAGATCCGGGCAGGCACTGCTTCATCCCAGTGTCCTGTCCCCAGCTGAGGTGAGGGGGGCCAGGGTCTGGAGGCAGTGGCCTCTTTGCCCTGAGCTGACTGCTGGTCTCCAGGGGCAGGGCGTGGCAGGGATGAGGGGCTTGTCCTGATGCCACAGGGATCCAGCCTGCCCACACCTGCTAAGCCTCTCCCTGGCCCTCCCCCAAAGCAACCCAATGTGGCCTCTGCCACCAAGAAGTTCTCCTACAAGCTGGTGAAGACAGGCAGCGTGGTCCTCACAGCCAGCACTGATCTCCGCGGCTACGTGGTGGGGCAGGCGCTGCAGCTGCACGCCGACATTGAGAACCAGTCAGGCAAGGACACCAGCCCTGTGGTGGCCAGTCTGCTGCAGGTCAGAGCCCCCGGCAGTTGCCCGGACTGGCCTCCTGGGGTGGGCTGGCAGCCTGCGCAGGCTCACAGGCTGGTCCTTCCCCAGAAAGTGTCCTATAAGGCCAAGCGCTGGATCCACGACGTACGGACCATTGCGGAGGTGGAGGGTGCGGGCGTCAAGGCCTGGCGGCGGGCACAGTGGCATGAGCAGATCCTGGTGCCTGCTTTGCCCCAGTCGGCCCTGCCAGGCTGCAGCCTCATCCACATCGACTACTACTTACAGGTTTGGTGCTAGTGGGGGCTAGGTGGCCTGAGGCCTAGTGGCCTTGGCCCTGGCCCCTCACGCCCCACCTCAATCCTGTCCAGGTCTCTCTGAAGGCACCGGAAGCTACTGTGACCCTCCCGGTCTTCATTGGCAATATTGCTGTGAACCATGCCCCACTGAGCCCCCGGCCAGGTCCAGGGCTGCCTCCCTGGGCCCCACCCCTGGTGGTGCCTTCTGCACCACCCCAGGAGGAGGCCGAGGCTGCGGCTGGCGGCCCCCACTTCTTGGACCCGGTCTCCCTCTCCACCAAGAGCCATTCGCAGCAGCAGCCCCTGCTGGCCACCTTGGGTTCTGTGCCTGGTGCCCCTGAGCCCTGTCCTCAGGATGGCAGCCCTGCCTCATACCCGCTGCGGCCTCCCTTGTGCATTTCAACAGGTGCCACTGTCCCCTATTTTGCAGAGGGCTCTGGGGGGCCAGTGCCTACCACCAGCACCTTGATTCTTCCTCCAGAGTACAGCTCTTGGGGCTACCCCTATGGTGAGTCAAGGGCCAGGGCTTGGCAGGGAGGGGACGCCAGGAGCCCCATGCAGACCCTGCTTTCTCCCCACAGAGGCCCCACCGTCCTATGAGCAGAGCTGCGGCAGCGTGGACCCCAGCCTGACCCCTGAGAGCTGACCCTGTGCTGCCTTCTCCAGGCAGGCCTGGCCTCTGCCCTGGGACTGGGGCGCCCAGGGCCTCGTGCCTTCTCTCTCGGCCTGGCCTGACCCACTCAGGACCTGCCCAGCCTCTGCCAGCTCCTCTGGCATCTACCCTCTTCTCCCTGGGGCTGGGGTGGGGGTGGCAGGGAGCTGGGACCTGGAGAGACTCCTGTAAATAAAACGCTGTATTTGTAGAGCTGGGCCTCACCGGCCTCGCCTTGGGCGCCCTCCAGCCTCCAGCAGGGCCTGACCCTGACCCCATCCTGGGCTCTCCTCCTGCCAGGGCATAGCCCGCTCCTCAGGTACCCCTGCTACTCTGGGGTTGCGCTCAGGCTGGTTCCCTTTAACAGAGGACGGGGGCTGGCGCTGGGCCTTCCAGAGCCACCTAAGGAAACGTCCTTGGAGCCTGGCTCACGAACTGGGGCTCACGCAACCTTGGCATCTGGTTAAATTTGTGCCTCGGCTCCTGCTGTGTTAGGCACCCAGATTCCCAGGCGGCGTGGTGTGGACTTCCCCTGCTGAGAAACCTGCGGGCACGTGGAGGGCTTGCCTCGGCCCCTACTGGCATCATTGCCAGGCCTGGCTCTGAGGGACGCTGCTTCTCTCCTGCCCACATCTCCAAGACCTGAGAGGCAGGGTTCTGTGGAGCAGCGTTCCCAAAGGGGCCCCCAGGGAGGCCCTATAATGCTGGCCAGCCTGCCTGGAGCGCGCTTCCAGAAACAACGGAGGCGGTAGTGAAGGACGACTCTGGGTTCAAATTCCAGTTCTATAGGACGAAGGGGTGGCTGTGGCCAGGTTTGTCGGTTACCGTATCTATGAAATGCACAGGGCCAGGCCGGCACGGTGACTCCCGCCTATAATCCCAGCACGTTGGGAGGCCAAGGCAGGCGGATTGCTTGAGGTCAGGAGTTCTAAATCAGCTTGGGCAACATAGTGAAACTCCGTCTGTACCCAAAAAAAAAAAAAAAAAAAAAGCTGGGCATTGTGGCACATGCCTGTAATCCCAGCTACTCAGGAGGCTGAGGCAGGAAGATAAAAGGCAGACCCGGAGGCAGAGGTTACAGTGATCTGGGAATTTGCCACCACTGTACTCCAGCCTGGACAACAGGCGAGACTCTGCCTCAAAAATAAAAACAAAACTCCACAAAAACTCCTGGGACTGTAGGGACAGCCCCACCCTCATAGCACTTGAAGCAGGTTATTTCTCAAGACAGTCCAGAGGGGCAGATCCTGGCCTCTGGCAAGCCTGCTTCGTTCCTACGTAGTAGCTCCCATCCCTGGCTCCCAGATGGCTGTTAACAGCTTTCACCACTGCCCGGCCTAATGGTGGGACTTTGAGGACAGACTGGGAAGTAGATTGTCACTTTTTGTCTCTGACCTGTCCTTCCCATTTGGCAATGTAGTCTTCTAGCCATGCAGTCCTGTGCCAGCGTAAAATTTTACTAATTGTGGGACGGTCAGCATGAATGTTGGAGAACAGCAGAAAGTACCACAGGTGGGTACCTGCTGGGCTCAGTGTAGTCTGTGGTTTGAAAGGAAAACCTCTGGGCTTGAATCCCATCACTGCCCTCTCACCACTCCCTTGCTTCAGTTCAGTCACTTATAAAATGTGGGTAAGAGCAGTGCCTGCCTCTCAGGACCGACTTGAAGTTTGCAGGGATGGCAGCATCATGTGCTGAGAGCAGCACCTTGACAAGTGCTGAGGGGCACACAAGGGGAGCAGCTGATTGCAAAATGGAGTGAAAAAGCTGCCTGAAGCTGCTTCCCACACCTTCACTTAGGGTGGATGTTTGCTTGGTAAAGGATTTTCTTCACATTTAACTCCTTTATTCAGTCAATAATTTTTTTTTTTAAGATATTAGAGTCTCGCTCTGTGGCCCAGGCTGGAGTGCAGTGGCGCAATCTCAGCTCACTGCAAGCTCTGCCTCCTGGGTTCACACCATTCTCCTGCCTCAGCCTCCTGAGTAGCTGGGACTACAGGCGCCCGCCACCATGTCCGGCTAATTTTTTTGTGTTTTTAGTAGAGACGGGGTTTCACTGTGTTAGCCAGGACAGTCTCGATCTCCTGACCTCGTGATCCGCCCGCCTCGGCCTCCCAAAGTGCTGGGATTACAGGCTTGAGCCACCTGCGCCCAGCCAGTCAACAAAATACTTTTATCTCCTCTGTACACCAGGAATTGTTCTAGGCACAAAACGGACTTACATTCTAGGGAGACAATATTCCAAATCAGGATGTGGAGAGTCAGATGTCACACACTGTGATGGAGCAAAGTGAAGTGAGAAGACTGGCAGCCCAGGGCGGCAGTCTCACTTCAGCTAGGGAAGGAGAGGAAGGCTTCCTGCAAGAGCTGATAGTTGAACTCCAGGATGGTAAAAGAAGCAAACCCACAAAGACACTTGAAATAAAGGTTTCAGGAAGAGGACAGACAGCAGCAGGGCAGCAGAGAGGTGGGTGTGGGGGGCAGGGAGGCGGGGAAGGAGGGGGTGGGGCAGGAGGGTGCTGAGTGTCTCCTCACGAGGGGGCTCAGGGTGCTCGGCCTGTCATAAATGGACTCCAAGCTGGCCGGGCGGTGGCTCACGCCTGTAATCCCAGCACTTTTTGGGAGGCAGTGGGCGGATCACGAGGTCAGGATATCGAGACCATCTGTTGCTGCGGTGAAACCCCGTCTCTACTAAAAATACAAAACTAGCCGGGTGAGGTGGCGGGCGCCTGTAGTCCCAGCCACACGGGAGGCTGAGGCAGGAGAATGGCATGAACCCGGGAGGCGGAGCTTGCAGTGAGTGGAGATTGCGCCACTGCACTCCAGCCTGGGAGACAGAGCGAGACTCAAACAAAAAAAAAAAAAAAAAAAAAAAAAAAAAAAGGACTTAAGCTTGAAACATAGGGAGCAGTTGAGCTGTCCTAAAGCCTGGGAAGGTTCTCTTGGCACTTGGGATTGTCCGTTTCCTTCTCTGTCTCTGAGTGCGCACATCTGCTGGACTTGGGATAATTCTCCGGGGTCGAGAGCTCGCAGAGACTCCAGAGTGTCACCCAGATTGACATTCAAGACTCAGTTCTTGTCAATTTTGCACAGTACCGTCCTCGGTTCACGCGACCATCCAGAAACCTCAAATTCAGTCCACTTCTTCTTGTTTGGGTCTGGGGGCTGGGATAAGGCAGGCTGACCACAGCTAGACTTAAGATAGTTTCTGTGGTGCTGGGGGCGCTGTCAGGGAAGGCTACTTGGTCTGCAGAAAGGCCTTGGCTTGTGCATACCTGGGCAACGGGCATATGGGTGGCAGGGAGGCAGGGGTAACCAGGGCACACACACCCAACCGGAGCACCCCACAAGCTGGCATCTCACAACTGCGGAACCTCCCCATCAGGGCAACCCTCCCGGTTGGGACACCGCCCCCAGCCAGGCCCATCCTCCTAACTAACACCCATGTAGCCGAACCGCTCCCCGCCAGGCACCTCCCACCGGGCATCCCCTCCCCAGTGGGACACCCCCGTCCAGTCAGGCATCCCCGCCGTTCCCGAAGACCACCCCCTCCAGCCAGGAGCACCCCTCGGCAGGGCGGCTTTCCTCTAACCAGGGGACCCCCGCCACCAGCAGGGAACCTGCCTGAACCAGAGCACCTCCGCGCCGGGGACACCCCACAGGTGGCTTCCCCGCCAGGCCGCAGCCCAGGGTCAGCCTTCCGCGCAAGCCGGCACGAAATCAAAGTGCGTCCGGGGTTAGAGGTCAGAGGTCGGAGCCGCAGGTCTTTCTCCTCCTTCGGCCAGCCCACCAGAACGTCAATTTAGAAGGAGATATGTGTTGAAAATGGGAAGACTTCTCTCCCCATCTACTACCACGACTCCGGCGGGCAGGATCTCCGGCTCTGGGTCTCCTGTATCCCGCGGGCGCGTGTTCACGCTTCCGGCCGCCGCGAACCGACCTGGAGCGCCGCACGCCTGGTCCCGGTGCGCAGGCGCCGCACCGGTCGGGCTCCAACGCGCAGGCGTGGGCGCAGGCGCAGGCGCAGACGCGGGCGATCGGCCCGCCCCGACTCTGGGCCGCGAGGCGCGGGCGGGAGGCGATGGCGCGCCCAGGAGGGCGGGGCCACGCTGCAGGCCCAGGCCGCTGGCCGCCGCCGATGCCGAGGTGAGCAGCAGGGCCGGCGGGGCGGCAGGGCGGCGGGCAGCGGCGGAGCGGCGCGGGGGCGAAGAACCGGGCCCGGCGGCGGCAGGCGGCCGGCGGGCGAGGCGAGGGCCCTGCGCCCCCGCCGCACCGCCTGCCGCCGCCGCCCTCAGGCCGAGGCCGAACCGAGGCCGCCGGGCGTCCGGCCCGCGCTCGCCGGGCGCGCTTTGTGCGCGGCGCGGGCCGGGCGGCGGCTGGTGGTGCGGGCGGGGGCGCAGGTGAGGGAGAACGGCGTCACGCCCGCGCCCCCGCGGACCCGGTGCCGCCGCCGCCGCCCGCAGGCCGGATCTGCGGGAGGGCCTCGGCCAGGGTGCCGGGGCCGAGGCCGCCGGGCGTCCGGCCCGCGCTCCCGCCGGGCGCGCTTTGTGCGCGGCGCGGGCCGGGCGGCGGCTGGTGGTGCGGGCGGGGGCGCAGGTGAGGGAGGCGGCCGCGTACCTGCGCCCGCGCCCCCCGCGGACCCGGTGCCGCCGCCGCCGCCCGCGAGCCGGATCTGCGGGGAGGGCCTCGGCCAGGGTGCCGGGGAGGTGCGGAGGACAAAAGGAAAAGTAGCGGGGCCGGCCAACTTTGGAGCGCCGGCCGAGGCGAGGCTGTCCCTCCTCTCGGAGCTCTTCCTTCGCTCCGTTGACCTTTCACTTTGTTCTGAGTAGGATGGCACCATCTTTAACGAAAAGTTGGCCAGTCCCGGCGTGTTTCTCCCCAGACAATGCTGCTCCAGCCCTGCTGGCTGTCAGAAGCAGGAAAGCACGCTCGGTGGGAAGCTTGCGGACTCAAGTTTATTTCCAAACCAGCAGCTTTAAAGGGCTCTCTATATAAAAAGTTCACATTCTTTTGTTAATGGTCTTGGCCTTCCCCGTGCTCAATTTCAAGGATAGTTTGTTTTTTGCTTAGGAAAGGAAGCAGCATAGAGATTAAAGTCTTGAGAGTGGTCCACTGGCGTCCCTCTGAAGGAAAGGCAAGCAGGAGGTGGTGTGTCCGTGGAGCTGCAGAAATAGTGTGTTCTTAGGGCTGAAATAAGGGACCGGTTTGGAGAAAAGTGCTAGCTTGGAAGTATTTCTTTGAAATTAACTATGTAATAACAGTTGAGACTTCTCAGGCTTAGAAAGTTAAGGTATAGTAAGAAGCCGTACAGTATCCTGGTGCGTAGACTTAACACTGTATTTTAACTCAGGTAATGTATGGCTTTTTTGTTTATTTTTTTCCTGCATTTTTAGGGGGGTGTTGAAATAAGTAAACTGGGAAGGTGCAGGGGAATTCTTAAATTCAATGCAAGGAGTTTTTGCTGAGTACCTGCAGCTTTCAAGGTATGAATATTAGTCACTGAGAACAAAAAGGGAAATTAGAAAACTTCAAGTCACTTCCAGGCTTGTAGGAGAGAAGATGTGTAGTGATGAATTATATCATTTATAAAGCACCCACTGGATCCCACACACTGTGCAAGACCTTTAGATCAGGCGCCTCACTCAGTTTTCTTCACCCTGTGCAGCAGGTGCTGTTATTTGCTTTTTTTTAAAAATTTATTATTATTTTTTGAGACAGGATCTCCATTTGTCGCCCAGGCTGGAATGCAGAGGCATGATCGCGGCTCACTGCAGCCTGGACCACCTAAGGCTCAAGGGAGTCTCCCACCTCAGCCCCACAAGTACTTGGGACTATCTGCGGGTGCTGCCACACCTGGCCAATTTTTTTGTAGAGACTGGGGTTTCACCATGTTGTCCAGGCTGGTCTTGAACTTTTGGACTCAAGCGATCTGCCCGCCTCGGGCCTCCCAAAGTG